GCGGCTGCATTCTGGACTAACTGTAGTCGCCGGATGCACTTCAAGGGCAACCCCATGTAGAGCCCATTGCAATCAACTAATATCTTCACTGAAGAAGGATTACAAACAGTTTGCCATAATTTTGGTTGAAAGATTGAAAATAATTTTACAGGATTTTGTTATTGAAGACCAATATGAGTTTTTATCTAAAAGACATAGATGCAAAGAAAGCCTTTAACTATTTAAATTGGATTATTTTGTTTAGAATTCTGAAACATACTCTATGAACCTTGGAGTTAATTTTATTAAATGGTGAGATCTAGTACTTTTCAGAAAGAACAAATAATTGTTAATGGAGAACTAACAAAACTTTGGGGAATTCAAAATGGATAAGACAAGAATGTCCACTGCCTCCACTTTTGTTCATTTTGGTTTTTGAGGTACTTAATAGAGAAATAAGATCAGAGACTTATGGGGTTGTTATTTGTTGATAATTAAGGGTATTTGCAGATGATATGGTGTTAGTTTTGGAAATTTCACTAGAGAGAGTAGAAACATGGAAACATTAAATAACTTTTGTATATTAGCAGGAAGTTTTACAAGCATAGAAAACTGATGGCAGAAAAAAACTTAGTGGTCTATCAAATCTGTCCTTTGAGTCTATTTGGTTTAATTAATTAATTAATTAATTCAATTATTATTTTTATATTTAATTAGCTTTATTTTTTATTTTGGTCAGATGAGTTTTTAATGTTAGAAATGGATATCAGATACATAAACCACTCAAGGTCTGCAGTGATTCCAGCAGCATATAAATTGATGGGTAGATGGATGAGTAAGCTTTTTACAATAAATATACGTGCGTATTTGTAAGATAATCATCAGTTTCATTTTCAGATAGACATTCAATGATTGTGCTAAGTCATCATAAGCCTTATCTGGTTCTGATTCAGGGCAATGCACGTTTTATACATATTTTGTAGCACAGCATGTGATGTGAGCCCAGCCAGATGTGATTTACTTAATAAATAATGGTTAAGCAAAATATTTCTCAGCAAGCTATCCGAGCCAATGTCCTCAACAACCTCACATCTACCATAATCATATGCTGCCTTTTGCATTTATTGTCCCCACAGCAGCTCTGTGCTGAAAAAGAATAATTCCTGGAAATGCTAGATGAAACTTCTTCATAAAATATTCTTAAAATAGCAGCACTATAATTCTTACATTAAATGGACAGAAAAGAATTAACTGGGTAGATTGAGAAATATAAATAGCTGATCAGAAAATCTAAAAATATTAACGCTTGGAAGTTGCTCTCTAACATAAAGTGAGCCTTCCCTCCTCCTATTAATATTCCAAGCACATTCAGCATCAGCAGATTTTAAAAACCTCCCTTACATTCAGAATAGCTGGATAAGCAGTTTGAGAAAAAATAAATAAGGCACCCACACAATACTATTGGTGCAATGCATGCCATAGCTCTGAGAAAGCTAGCCCCCCCACCTCAAATCTTTCTCACCCCTATGAAAGCTCCAAACAGGTTGCATCTGGTTAAAAGTCCACCGACCAAACAAATAACAGCATGTTTTCCCCCATGGTCACAGGAAAACAATATAACCCTGAAATACCTTTAAAGCATAAACCTTTACATCGCTATCTTAAGTGAATCTCCATAACATTCCCTACAGCAATAAGGACTGCCATTCATTGCTAAACTGCTTCATACTTTGATCAATACTGAATGAAAGGGTCAAATTTCTATGCGGTTGTGCACATATATATAATACATAAATCCTCTTTCCCAAAACTGTGCTTGGAAAACAAATATATGGCAAGGTTCCTTCTTAATACAACAGCACTCTCTGGTGGCCCACCAATGAACAGACATCTAGAAATGTGGACAATAGTAAGGAAGGGCTGTGTGGCCAAGGTGAGCTTCACAAGTGGTTCCTTAGGACTACACATAACCAGAGACCCATAGGCTGAAAACACCTGCATAAACAGATTTTAAAAATAATTTTACAGATGAAGCTTTGGGATAGCCTGATGTTCAGCACAAAAGGCTGAAGCACAACATTCAAGACAATGGCAGCACAATTTTATTGAGGTATATTCAATAAAAGTGCTCTCAGATAAATGCAGATATGTTTGCACTTTGTATTATTTATGTAGACACTAGACTTTTAGCTTTTAAATATTAAAGAAAATCAAAATGGTTAAAAATAGAACCAGAAACAAATGATTCAAAGCAAATTAACAATATAATTCCATGCATCTTCTATTATTAGTGAGCATAGTCTACTGGACTGAAATTCAAAAGAATGAAATGAGCATCAGAAGTACAGGTGATTGGGACTTCCAGCTGATGTTGCAGCAAGAATGGCTGGAAAATAGCGGTGCTCCACCGGGCTCCGTGAAATTTAGCCAGCAACTCCTTGCTGGGAGACCCTACGGGTTTAAACTTCCCTGAAGGGGAGGTGAAAAAAGAGGTGTTTCATCGATCACAAGGAAAACACAATTTCCTCACTGATCCAAAGAAAGCTCTCCTGAACCGTGACCCAACAAATGTGTGCATGACAAAAGCGCGCCGACAAAAGCGCGGTGCTAAAACCGCGATGT